CAGTGCTACTTAGCGCTTTTTGACTTCAGTACTGTCTATGCGGAAAGCTGACGTCTGCCTCTACAGCCCGCAGGGCTTCACAAAACGGGCTCGCTTAAGACGTCTTCTGTGATATTTCCACAGCGGCCCAGCCTGGGCTCCAGAACCTCCGATGGCGTTATTCGCCAGCTTCAGCTCCTGTGCCGGGAGGGGGTTGTAGGAATGCGAACTTGTGGCATCTCAGAGCTCAGAGAAGAGGCGGCCGCACGGCGATTTTGAGGCTTGCTGCTGCCCTGGGCTTCAGCTTCGGGGCGATTCAGATCGAGGCTTCGCGACAGATATCTCGCACTGCACCGCCTTGAGGTTTTTTCATGAAGTCAACAGGACGTGATGACTGTGCACAAGCTATGCCACCATATCCCTCCAAGATGCCTTGCAAGTTGACCTGACCGACCACGGATAAAAACTATCGTTATCGTTGTGATACCCCATGCTTTGCAACGCGAGGTGCTGCCTTCTGCGCTTTCGGCACTGCGCACCACCTGTCCCACCCTAAACGCAATGACGCAGCTGCCCCCACTGCGCAGGCAAGCTTGGCAAATCTGAGGACTGATGGCCGACCCTTCGCGACATCCCACGCGACTCAAAACCAAGGGTGGCTTCCGGGAGTGCCTCAACTGGAAGCTCCTTATTGGACCCTCTCAGCCAGAAACCCTAAACATCCCGAAGCCCGAAACCGATGAGGAATGTGGCAGCCGCCCATGAACCCACAGCTTCGACAGAGGCTCCAAGATCCCTTTCAAACTTCGGGGGGGAAGATTCCTTCAACTCGCGGTGTTTAGGGTTCAGGGCTTTATAGGGTTTGGAGAGAATCCTACAGCTATTTAAGGAATTTTCCTTGCTTAAGGGTTTTTGAGCTATCCTTCACATTTGATCAGTCAAACCCGAATAGCATGCCGCTCCCAAGCAGAGCTCCCCGGCGACCTTTACAAACTTTCCGGCGGAGACCGGCAACTGGCGGTCCTCGATGTTCGGGAGAGCTTTCAGTGCGTCTCCCAGGGCCTCCACACACAAGGCAGCTTAGGGAGAGCGAGGCCCAAGCTAAGGGAAAACTTGCGCCAAACGGGTCTTGGAAGTTGGGAGGGCCATGTCCCGGACTTTGACTCGTCACAGTCCGAGTCTCTCATGAGGACTCCGCATGAAATGCTTTTTGTACGCACTTAAGACGGAACAGGCAGTGCACCTGCACCGAACAAATCCCAACTTGATCAACTCCAGGCCTGCGTCCCCACATCGCCGAAGCCATTGTTGTCCAGGCATAGGTCTCGTAGGCCCTTGTGGTCTGCCAGGCCCTCGGCGATGGCCTGCGCACACGCAGAAGTGCACCTTCGGCCTTGAAACTTGCAACTTGCCATCACGCCGCCGGATGTCCAAAATGTCTTCAGGGCCTGCCGACTCCAAACCTTTTCCCCCTCCCAAGGCCTGGAGGCCGCTGTCGCCGATGCGATTGCCGAACAGATACAGCACCCGCAGCGAGGAGTGGCCGCCCAAACCAGCTCCAAGGGCCTCCGCAGACGACCGAATCTATAGGACTCTTTGTCTTTTGGAAACGGTGTAGGCATCATGGGCTGGCCGGGCCAGTACCCTTGTCCGGGGATTCTATAGGATGGCCAAGTTCTGTTTCCTAGGCTTGGCGGCACGTAGTTGTAGAACCCTCCCACAAAGTGGGAAAGTCCTTGCTGAAACCCAAGGCAACCCCCCCTCCCCCGCGGGCTCGCGCATGCAGGCCAACAAAGGGGCGTAGAGTACCGACATCTTTCTATTCGCAAAATATACATACAGAGGAAAGGAGGTTGAAAGTTCATGGCGGTAAGAAACTATATGCTTGGCGCAGGACGAGTATTGGAATTGCGAAAGTACTTCAGTGGACAAGATCTCTTATCTTCGATCCTTAAGGGGGGCCAACCCCTCACTTGTGACCATAAAATCTTCTCACTTGTGACTGTTTTTTTCTCTCACCTGTGACTATAAAATCTTCTCACTTCTGACCGTTTAAAGCTCACTTACGACCATGAATTCTAAAAAACACGCAGCTCCCGCGCGAGAGGGGTCAAAAACTCACTTGCGTCTATTTTTTTGGGGGGGTGGCTCACTTGTGACTATTTTTGTAGTCACAAGTGAGTGTTGATTTTGGGGATTTTGCTTTGGCATTTCTAGCAGATGGACGGAGGCTCGTCTCTGCGGAGCTTGGTCCGGGCTTCTCCCGGTGGCCCCTCCTAAGGTCCTGATGCCTTCCTGCACGGCTCGAGCCTTCACAGGGGGTTATGGCCTGATTGGCTGGATTTGGCCATCCACATGTTTGCTCGTGAATGGACGCCCTGGTCTGCTGGTCTTTCGTTTTCTCCAGTGACGTGTCGCAGCCTCCTTGCTGGAAATCCATGCCGATACCCTACTGCAACCTCGCCGCAGACCATGGATACCCACATGCATCCACAGGCCACCGCAACAAAAACAACTTTTCAAAATGCTTCAAGGTGCGCGCAGCTTTTGCCCATCGTTTGAAGTCTATAGACCTCTTCCTCAGCTAGCTCCATTGAGAAGCCGCCACAACTAAGATGGAGGACCAGCATGAAAGTTTCCTCCGGTGCGTTTTGCTTTTGAGTACCGGTTGGTGCTTGACTGCGTCGTAGTTTGGGCCCTGGGTTTGGCCAGCTGCCGGGCTCAGAAGGCAAAATCACCGAAAAAGACAGAAACACAATAACAGTGCACCGCTACAGGAAGTGCACGGACCACGAAGCAACCTGCCTCATCCCCGAGAGTCTAGATGCAACTTGTCGAGTTTTCGGCATGACGCAGTGTCTTGTCTCAGTCGTTTACATTGATTCCGAGTTTTTGCAAGACTCTGCAATTACTTAATTGTGCGGGAGATTGGCTCCTGCCACTGGAAAGCCCCCTCCCAAACGTTTCGAGGGCTTCCACACGACGTCAGATCTCGAGAGGACACGCAAGCCCAAAGCGGCACCCTGCATCCCGTAGAATGTGTAAATGCAGTCTCTTAAGAAGTCAGATCTCTTTTTGTTCCAGCCCTCCCGCGCGATCACGGCAAAACGCTTTGGATGAGTGTTTGCAAGCTCCATGCAGCAAATCCCGATAGAAATTGTCTCTGACCACATGCATCCACATGCCGCCTACAAGAGCCTCCTGAACACGTTCTGTGCACTTTCTCCTTTGCCCAGCACCCACTCCTCTCACCCCCCGGGCCCGTTTTAAAAAAGAGGTGGGGACTGGGCGCCGAACCTATTTGGGCTCCAAGAAGTTTGTCCAGTCTAGCCGCCACTTTTAAAACCCAACGCTTCAGCAAATCTTCAGACTAAAGTTTAAAACACGATCTTCGTTTCAAGGCTCAGCCGCCGAAATTTGGCAATGAGTCGTGCAGTCTACACCCCACTTTCCCCTGCTTTAAGGCACGCCCTCCCGAATGGCAGAAAGACCCGTGCCAGCCGTCTGAAATGTTGGACTTCAAAGCTTCCGGAGTCGGTGTGACAGGGCTTGGGCTTCCTGCTTTCTTGTGGATCTTTCATACCCTCAAGAAGCGCCACGAAAATCGGGGGAGGACACCGCGGAGAACCGGTCCCCACTTTTGAGAGGCAGCCACACTTCGGGAGAGGCAGAGCAGGCGGAGCGGGTGCGCCCCCACCTCGGCCTCTGCATCTCCGAAGCCGGAGTTTATCAGCTTCAGCTGCCGCAGGCGGCTCCAGGGCAGCGCGCGCACCAGGGCCTGGCGCGGGGAGAACAAAAAAGGAAGCTGCAGAGGGCTTATTCGGAGCTTATAAGCTTTACAAAAAAGTCTTGTAGGATTTGCAGGGCCTTTATGCGATTTTCCTGCAATTTAAGAAAGAAAGGAATGGGAGGCTCGGGGCATACTCTGTAGGGGGCGCGCGCTCTCCTGCCTGGAAGGCCTCGCCGGCCAGCTCGCTTCTGCCCACATACAGCTCCTCCAGGCGCTCGTAGTGCGGCAGCGCCCGGGCCAGCACCTGGACCTGGGCTTCGGGCAGATGCGCTAGATTCAGGTTCGTGGCCTCGGCCGCCTTCTCCCGGAAGACCTTGGCCTGGAGTTGCAGCACCGGCTCCAGGTCCGCGCGGTGCGTGAACTTCAGGGTCCCCCTCTCCACTTGGGCGCGGAACTCCGAGGGCGCCATGGGCGCCTCTGAGTTCCGGCCTTCGCGGAAGGGAATCCTGATGCTCTTCCAGGCAGCAAACCGCGCCAGCGACCACTGGACCTCCGCCATGCACCACCCGCGCTCCCGGTACGGCGTGCTGTTCCGGTGCAGCTGCGGGCAGGGCGGGCGGCAGCCGAAGTGGCATCCCGGGCTGCAGCTGCCCTGGTCGTTCGTGTCGCGCAGCTCGGCCAGCGCCACATCCGTCACGGCGTTCTCGGGGAGGTAGAAGACCTTAGCGGTCCCAGACAGCTCGGGCCCGGGCCGGTCGTGGAGGCCGGGCGTCAGGTCCTCGATCCTTAGCGACCAGGTCTCATCATGCGCGTAGAGGAGGTGCATGTTGGCCATGCCCTTCGCGAAGTAGACGTCCTGATGGGAAGCGCATCTGTAGGCATCGCAGGCCCTCATGTCCCCCCAACCGCCCCCTCACCAGAAAGCAACACAGACAACGGCAGAAAACCGACGTAGAGATTCTACTGTCAGCCAGTCCAAGCCCATCCTGCTCTTCAGTTCGCGGGAACTGGTACAGGGACATGTAATCCACAAAGATGGCAGCCTGGACGTGACCACATCATGCGTTTAGATCAGCTTTTAGGGAGCCTCAGGGGCTATGGACCTGGAAGTTCCCTGCTTCTTTTGCAAAAGGTCGACATGCAAAGTACCTTGTCTCGACTTAGGCTTTTATGCTCTCAGATGGGCTTCAACGACAGCTTGGGGAGCAACAGGGCATCTCAGGGCTATAGAACTGGAACATCCCAACCTTGCAAACAAAATCCGTGTTTGCGAGGCAGTGCCCAGTGGCGCCTCCCAGTCCTTGGCGAGTTTGTGGGCTGGGGCGATCTTCTGCAGGATCTCCGCGAAGGTGTCCAGCGCTTCTACCAGCACTCGCAGCCTCAGGCGCTGCAGCGGAAGTGACAAAAGAGGAGCTCGTCTCTCTACAGGACTTAAGCCCACAACGAGGCACACGGGACACAGCCAACAGATTGCGAGGGAGAACCTGTGTCGCTGGGCTGGGGCTCCCTGCTGGAACCTGTCCAAGTCTGGGATCTCGCGGCTCTCCCACGAGTGCGAGAGAGCCATTACCGAGAAGCGGTGAGTTTTGTCCACCCATCCGCCTGGAAGTTTGGCTTCCAGCTCCTCCTGCTTCAGCAGGGCCGGGCGGCCGTCCTTGGTCCGCATCCCCTCGGCTTCCTGGCGCCGGGGCATGGTGCGGCCCTCTGCCAGGAGCTCCCGGAGGAAATCGGCGCGGACGAGCCGCACCTTGGCATCCCGGCAGTACGTTAGTAGGCCGCTCTGGTCCCGCAGGCTGTAGATGGTTACCTGCGCAGGCGCAGCGAGCTTGACAAGCTTGGGGCACTCAAAGTGCGAGAGTGTGTGACATGAAGCGATCTTGTGATGATTTCTGGAGACTGAGCTTGGGCGCTCATTAACGACTTGAATCGGCTTGCCCACATGAACACGATCGAACACTTGCTGCTAGAAGCTAATTATCACGTTTCTGGCAGAAGCAGCCCTTGGGGACTTGGTCGGAGCGACTCTCCCAGACAAGATGGCATACAGTAGCAGCTTGCCGGGCGCGCGTCTGCGAACTACTACACGAACCTGGCATAACCTATACTATACGCATAAAGAAAAATTAGAACAACACATTGCAGCACCCGAACCCATCCGTCGGTGCACAGGAGGGACCAGGGAAGCGGATGCGCAAGAACCCTAAAAATGCAGCCGCGCCGCCTCGGCTTTGGACTCCGGCTCCTATGAGGCTCCCAAAAGCTGCTCCAAGCCACTTGCTGCGCACACATCCCCGATACTGCACCCGCAGCCACTGCAAAACCGTAAAGGGAAGGGCCCCTCCTCCTCCTTGTCGGGCTCGGAGGGCACGGCGGCTTCCTCGGCTCGGCTTAGCACATGCTCAGAAAGCGGCCCGAGTCCGCACTCCAAGAGAACCCTCCCTCTCCAATTCACAAGTGAATGAGGTCACAGGACATCACGGCGAAGTCGAGCATCTACTGTTGGGATTTGCCCATTGGACTCAGAGGGCATGTCATGCTTCATTCCTTGCATTCGCCATCAAAAGCCCAAGGAGCTGCCTCCGCAGGTTGATCGGCAGGAGATTCCTCCTTCACACCACCTCCAGATCCTTCCGCGGTCCGAACTGCCACAAGACCAATGAGCTGCCAAGACCCATGAGCTACGTACTTGTAGCTCTGTATGTGTGTGCGAAGATTCCCTGATGCGAAGAGCCCCGGAGCCCTGAGCAAGTTTCCGGCCTGCCGCCTGGCTCGAGGCCTGCCAAGTCTGCGCGCAAGAAAGTATCATAGATTGCAACGCAAGAGAATACTGCAAGGCCTCAACTACTCAGCGTTTGGGACCACGCAGAATTATCCAAGGTACAGGCATTACACACGGCCTTCTCTGCAACTCTGGCCGGATCCGGCTTGGCGTGTCGCTCCGGAAGCATGCGACAGTGTGTGGGCGATGAACTACATCGAACATCATGATACACAAGTTATCCCCCCCCGCCCCGCAGCTCTAAAATTCGCCTCGGCCTGGAAAATATTTGAAAATTGGGGGGGACTAAACCCAAAAAAACCTGAAATCCGAAGCCTAAACCTCAAAGCCGAAGACGAGAGAGATGTGGTAGTTACTGCGACCTATAGGGTTTGGAGTTTGGGGTTTAGGGTTCAGTTAGGGTTTAGCCTTAAGCCCTAAACCCGAGTTAAACCCTCCGAGCCTTGAGCCCTAAACCCTGAAAATCCTCTGAGCCTCAAGCCCAAAACCTTGTTTGAAAACCCGAACTCAAGGGCGAGGCCCTCCAACCATTCTCAAGCAGGTTGAGGGTGCCGGGAGGGTCCGGAAATAATGTTTCAAATGAGGGTGGGGTTTAGTATTGGGGGGAGGTGATTATGGCATAGCCTGTCTCTCTGGCCTTTTGGGGGACTTTAGAGGATGCGATCTGACCACTACATGCGATCTTCAGCTTGGAGGTCCAACATAGGCCTATGAACTCCAGGGACCTGGGCTGCATCTCATGCTTTCCCCACAGAACACTCCCAAACATATTGGTACCTTTCAACCCAGGGTTACCGGTGAAGATCCCGCTTCACGCCATCGGATTTCTTGCCAGGGTTGCTAAACTTTAAACGGTTGCCGGGTTTGTGAGGTTGCTGGGCAGAGCCACCTTTGCCTGGGAGGCTTCGCGGCGCGGGTCCGTCGAGGCACGCCCCATCCTCAGCTCCGAAAGGAATGAGACTTGGGAAGCTGGGATGCAACTGTCGCTCAAGAAAGCCTCTCAAAATCCTGAAACACATAAACACCTAAACCCCTAAGCCCATAAACCCATAAACCCTAAACCTCTGTGGCCCCTTTGAGGCTCCGGCTCTTTGGCCTGGGCCGGGTATCCTGCGGACTCTCCCGTCCTCGGGCCGTAAATGGAGGAGTCATTGCGAGTTATAACCTTTTTAGGATGGGGCTTTCGGGTGTTTGGGGTGTGAGGGGCTATAGGGGTTTTAGGGTCGAGGGTTATAACTTATAATTGTGCTGGTGAACCTACACAGAATTCTCGTGTTTTCTTGCTTGAACTGGCAGAGAGCACCCCTATGAAGAGCTCCAGAACCCACGAAGATGTGATTCTCGCTTGCCTTCCCACCAACAAAACCGGGACAAGCATCACAGGGGCGTGTGAATTTTCTTGCCCTGAAATTCAAGCATGGCGTGGATGAGACGATAAGGGTGTCCACCGCCTCAACTGGAAGCCAGAAACTGAGGCTCCGGCGAGGGCGATTTGGTGTCCTCCGTGGTGATTGCTTGGGATCCAGGCGGGGTCCGTTCAGGTGGGATCAAGAGAATCAACCGCGCCATCCTCCTGGGCCGATCCGTACATGGCTGCAGGCGAATGAAGGCACCTAAGTAGGCTGATTTCGCGTTATTTCGTGATATTTCGGGCACGTCTGAGCAAGGCGGATTCCTCTTTGCAAATTTAAATGAATCCTTAAGAGCCCTCCGCCCAGGAACCTCAAACTACTGAGCTTGGGAGGTTCCATCTCAACTCTGGAGGCATGAGAGAGCCGACGTCTAAGCTGTAGTGGTTCAGTTGAAGGCGTAATGTTTGGATACTTTATATATGACAGTTGCCTGGATTGTTAGGTGATCCTCTTGGAAATCAATTTGGTGGCCCCAGTATTTTCATATCCGCCTGAAATCGGGCTTCGGGCGCACGTCTCGGATCAGGAGACGAGACCAACTCAACGCAGTTGGACATTGAGCGATCTGCAACACAGACAGAGACTCAGACGCGGGCGTGTGCGCAAAATGGATGCTTGTCTCCTAGGCAGCTCAAGCAAGGCAAGTCACTTCCGCGGTGCATGAGCGGGCTTTGCCCCCAACCCGCTCAGGTGCGATATGCACAGCGTCAATGCCGCCGAAAGTCCTCTACGAGCTTAGAACCCTAAAGCATCTGAAACCTGAACCCTGGGAAACCTACAAACCTTCGAAGCCATGAATGTCACTATGCACTCTCGGCCCCGACAATCCTGCATACTTCTGGGACAGACCTCTGTAGGCTCGGATGCAGGACACAGCCAGCCCGGAACCCGGACCCCGAAACGCCTTTCGCTGCAAACCCAAGAGCCAACCCAAAGCAGCCTCCTTAAGAAACTTCTAGGGGCCTTTGAGCACCAGCACAGAAGTCACAGGTTCTACTTTACAGTCCCAAGCCTGTGCCAGAGCACTCTCTCGCAGCTTCTCACCCCACTTCAACGCCACTCAGTGCAAAAGGGGGGGCTCAGGAACCCGGAGGCCCAGAGGTACGAGAAGCACGACATGCCCTAAGAGCCCAAGGCGCGCGCCTCTCAGGCAGGTGCCACGCGTCGTAGAGACCAAGGGATGAGGCTCGGAGTTGCTACGTATATGGGGAGACTTTCACTCAGCAAGCTGCAGGGTGGCTAAGGAATTGAACAAGAAGTCAAGGCTTCAGAAGGTTTCGTGATAGTGGCTTAGGAACCCGAATGCGTGCAAGATGCAGATGGCGATATCTCAAGACTATTCGGATGCAGATCCTTTCCGGCACCGTGCTAAAGATCGTGTGGCTCAGAGCGTAGTGACTTTGGAACCACTGCAGGCAGAAATTGAAGTTGAAACAGTCATTTGCGACCTTCACAGGATCTGTTCATATCTGCTCTAGTCTGCCTCAGGTGTAGATCTCTGGTGCATGTGGAGAATGGTGCGGCAAGCTGATGAGATGCTGGAACTCCGAACGGCTGCGGAGGCGGCGGCAAGTCAGTCATGGCAAGATGATGCTGCGCAACTTCAGGATGCTATAGCGGAGCCACGAGAGTCAAGAAGCTTACCGCAGGTGAACATGAAGGCCTCTCATGCATGCATCCGGTTGAAAGGATGGACTGTGAACACAAGCCGAGGGTAAAAATGGGGCCCTGTGGAAACTACCAGTTGATCTCGTGCACACTTGCCTCAAACCCTGTATAGACTCAAAGGATCAAGATCTACACAACTCTCCACGCGCATCTGCAAAGCTCTTCGATCCATCCTGTATCCTTTTTCTTACAAACCCCTGTAACAATCCCGGAACCCCCTAAAAACCCCCAAGCCCTGCAAACCCTCAATGCCCTACTCCCCCTGGTTCGTACTAGAGAATGAGGAAAAAATCAGGGCCCTCTCTCTATACCCTTTGAGGGAGTAGATAGGGTACCTCAACCCCTCAGTCCCTACGAAGAACCAGCCAGTATACTTTGCACTTCAGGCTCTGAGACACCCTGCTTCGGGCTGGAGAGAAGTGGGAGGCCCCCTTCGGGGGGGTTCATGCCTTCTGTGCGGCTTAAGGTGTCGGGGGGCCTTAGGGTCCGGATATTTAGGGGACTTCAAGGGTTTTTGGGGTTTAGGGATTTTTTTTTTGGGTCTTGGGTTGAGAGTTGGTTGCTGAGTTTGTCATTGGCACCCGTCGATGCTCCTCATGGCTTGGCCCAGATGATCCTGCTTCTCATCTGCGGCGAGGCATTTTTTTTGGCCTTCGGGAGCCTCGTGCGGTCCGGATTCAGCCATTTGAAGAGGCGAACCAGTTGAATGCTCACTCCTCTAGGATGGTGTCCTGCGACGCAGGAGATAGGAGGGAGGAGAGAGCGAGAGAGAGAGAGAGAGAGAGAGAGAGTGAGAAAGAGATTCGCCCTGCAAACTCTAAGTGTACGACGTCTATACAAGTCTTCTACAGTACAGTACAAGAGTCTAACAAACTACCCATCTGCTAGGCCAAACAAGCAATACCTGTCGCGCATCTTCACGCCCCCTCAGCCCCTGAGCCATGAAATCCAAAAGCCGCGCTTTTCCTCTCTCTACAGTGTCCTTCTTTCCATACCATTCCCCAGGCCTGAAGTACAAACAAAACAGATGCCCTTATGTATGTATGTATTTATGTATGTATGCATGCATGCATGCATGTATGTATGTATGTATGCCTGCGTGCTGGTATTATACAATACACCTGCTGCAGTGGACGTATATTGCAACTATAGGAGACCTGAACACAATCAAATAGAAGACCAAAAATGGGAGGTTTTCGAAAATAGGTGACGCCAAATAGTAGGATCCCCCCCTTTCTTCAGGACCCTCATCTGGTACCCCCTTCAGAATCGTAAACCCCCAAAATCGCCATATACAGCCTCTACTCACGTGTGACCAGTTCCATCTCCAGGGCTCCTCCACAGCCGCCAAGGGTGCCGGCCTCGCTGGGACGAAGCTGCGCGATCTAAGGGCAGCTTGTAGAGGGATTGAAAACTCTAGGGTTGAGAGAGGGATGTATATAGGGATTCATGTAGGGATTCATGTAGGGATTCCAGGGTTTACAGAGGGTATTTTGAGGGATTGACGGGGTTCATGTTGGGATTAGGGCGTCTGTAGAGGCATCTGGAACGGGTGCCGCTGCCGCCTGCAACCCACATCTCAGGCCCGAAAAGCGAAGGGCAAAGAAGACCACCCAACCAGGACGCGGGATGGCGGGGGCGCTCGATGCAAAAAGGGCAGGGGGGGGGGAGGGGGGAGGGGTGTCCTTCTCTTTCAAACACCGTGGCCCTGGGAAAACTGCCGCAGATGTGTGTCCAACTAGCTTTCTTCCAAGCGGCGGGCTGCCCACCGGCGTTGGCTCACCAGAAGCCCATGATGGCTTCTCAGGAGATGGGATGCCCACGTATACGACTTAGATGTTGCAGGAATGCTCTTCCACGTTCCCCATCTTGCTCTAATTGGTTGCCTGCCCGCACAGCTGCGAGAACACGCCGGAACGGTTGACGGACTAATGATAAAAAGGCATCTTGTTCTGACATTGAAGCTGCTGCTTCCTTTCGTGCTACTATTCCGTGCTTCTGAGATCAAAAGCGTTCACGGCGAGCAAGGCTCAACAGCAGTCCCAGCAAGGCACAGATGCTTTGAGAAAGACAGTCCCCAACGGGAGCCCAAAGCCCAGCTCCGTCTCAAAATGGCGAATGTCGGGGTGAGCAGCTTTTACAGGACAAGGACTAAGTGATCGGACCTTGAGCTGCAACAACTATTTGAGTCACGAGCCGGTCGGTTTTTGTTATCGCCTTGTAACCGCTCGGTCGCTCTTTTGTATTTGTGCCTGGACGCTGCTGGCAGCACGCAGTCCGACCAGTTTCACATCGACAAGATGATGCCATGGCGCGACACCTCTCAAGCTTTGCCCTTCTTCACAAGATCCGCCAAGTTGGTACGGCCAAGATGTGTTTAGAGATGCATGTGCAAAACGCGAGAGGTGGCAGCGGCAGCTCAAAACTCCACTTCAAGGAGGGTCATCCCGGCCGTGCATTAAAGAGTTATATAGAGCAGTGCAAACAGACGAGTTGGCTCCAGGCTACTTCCTCGGGGAGACTCAAAAGCTTGAGCGAGCAGATCGGCTAGACTCCAGCAGCTGAAACGCGCAGGTGCACTTTTAAGCGCCTGCAAGTGGCTTTCAAGGAAGGTCATCCCGGCCATGCATTAAACAGTTAGAACGCGCTGCGAACAGACTGGATGCCTCCGGCCAGGCTTATGTACTACTACGGAGGTTCCTCGGCGAAACTTTAAAGCTTGAGTGAGCAGAGCAGCGAGATTGCGCCAGTGAAAATGCGCAGGCTCGCTTGAAAGCACCCTGCAAGCGGCTTCACGCCAACTGCCAGTGGCCTCCCTTGGGCCTTGGGTGTCTGAAATCATCGGTTCGATTCAATGACGGTTCTCGGCAAGCGTCGGAAACCACCTGCAGCAGGATCCGCTTTGGGAGCTGTTTGATGGTACCCAAACTTGGTGGTTCTTGTCACCAAACACCCATGTTGCAGAAAGGGCCCATGCGTCCTACTGGTGACACATGTACACGAGTCCCATGAAGCTGGAAAACAACAGCACCAATTTTGCTTTTTTGCTTTTCATCATATTGTTTTGCATTTGAGGCTTACATCTCAGACACCCGGATCCTAGCCAACTCAAGGGAAAAGCAGTTAGGGATGGTCCGGAGGGGCTTTGGGTGTCTTGGTATTGCTTTCCTGGTTGGAAGGGCTCCTTGGAAAGCTGCCCTTCCCTTGAAGGTTTGGGGGGCTTCGAGGAGAGCCGCGGGATCCTCGGACTTGTTGATTGGTGGAAAATCCCGGATGGAAATCTACAGACATCCCACGCTCCTTCCTCCACCGGAAAACATGTGAAGTTGAAGACATGCTTCGCCCAAGGCTTCCGACAGTGTGTGCCTTGACCGGCTCTCCCTTAACGGCCAGGCAGATCATGCACATCAGAGTCGAGCACCCCAAAAAAGGGCGCCACCGACCTGGGCTCGCTTCTTGGGCTTGGGGTCTAAAGAGGTTGGAGGGTTTGAATCTGACTCGGGTGCAGGGA